TTAAAGTTACGACTGAAATGCTTAACACACTTTAAAAGTATGCTAGCTGAACTACTATGAACAACTGGTTTCCATTAAAATTAATCTACAGAGTATTAAAAATTACAATGACAATATATTCAATATTCTTTAAATTCTCAACAAATTCATTAGGAGAATTAAAGTTCAACTAGACTTTAAATGACACTATTTATTTCATAGAATTGGTATAGTTTGAAACTGGAAAAATTGTTAAGTGTGGGGGTAAGTCATACTACTGTTTTATCTTAAGCAGCTGGCATAATTTTTTTTTAAATTGATTCTTCGTGATACTAAGTGTGGAGACTATTACAAATCCAAACATCATCTTTTTGTTTTCTCCAATTTTATGTTGTCTGACTGAACTCTTATTTTTCTTTATTTTCCCAAGTAAAACCAAGATTATCTTGGTATCTGCTGATGCTTAATCTTGTTGCTTTAACACCAATGCACTGTTCTTATTGTTTAAGAATTGGTACAGTTCACCCAGGAACATCCACAGGTTGGGAACAGAAAGGAAAAAAAAGATTATATGTGGGTAAAATCATTTTTCCTTTTCTACAATACTGTTTTAAAATATGTGATGTTTTGCTGTGCATCAGGGACTAAGTTCACAAAGACTGTTAATTCTAATTTACTTAATGAAGTATGGGTAAACAAAAATGAAAAAGTGCATGTGTATTTGCACTATGAGGATTTTCAAGACTCCATATTATTTATTATTCATGCTCTTGGACTTCTATATGATGATGCTGGGAAAATATATCAAGCTGTTCAGAATGGAATGTTTTCAATATGCTGACAATACTCAACTGTATTTCCTTGTCACCTGAATCAGGCAAGGCTGTGAAAGATGTTGAACCAATGCTTGGATCTGGTAATGACAAAATGGGAACTAATAAACTGAAGCTAAAACCTGATAGCGTGGACAAAATGAATACAGATGATCCTCAGGCCCAAATAACTGACTTCTTTCTTGTGAACAATCTTATATTGGCTTTCTTACCAGAGATCCACAGAGCCTCAAAGTTTCAATGTCTCTGACCAGCTATGATGATTCTTGAAAACAGATATCCTGATCATAGTGATTCATACACTGACAAGCTTTCTATTGGTTATTATAATGCATAAATATGCCTTCTAAGGAAGCTCAGATCATTCTTCTAGTGAAGAATGGCCACCACAGATTGTTCATGACTACTGCAAAGTTCATGCATTTTGAAAGAATTCCATCAGTGATTCCAGTGGTGAAAGAATCACCATTCTTGCCCTAATTAAAAGCTGGCATATATTTTTAAAGCATGAGTGAGCCTTAGATAACAATAACTCTTCCAATATTCATCTTCACATACTTGAAATCTTCTGATTTTTAATGGTAGTATCCCAACTATGGAAAATACACCTTAGCCAAAAATAATTCATCTGGCATCAATTTGACAATACCCTTGACACTGGGAAGACACATTTTTGCTTGCACGCATATTTTAATCTGTTGAATGTTAAACAGAATTTATTCAATTTATTATTATTTATCCCATACTACTCTGTAAACCAAGGAAGAATGAGAGGAAAAACATTTTAAAAAACAAATAAAAATAATATTGTAACTTGTCTCTTCAGAAAAAAAGTTCCAGTTTGAATACTAGAAGTAATAATTAAAACTGGAGAGAATGCTAGAGGGGTACATAAGAACTGTTGGGAATCTATCAAAATAAGAAGTCATAACATTTTTACATATGAGATGTAAATAACTAAGTTATTATTACTGAAGTCACAGATAAAAGGAAACTGATTCAGGTCATTAACAGTAATGGTATTTTTGCTATCCGGGGCCTTACTGAATAATTAAAATCTTTTAAGCATGTCCTAGTCTCTGAAAGATTGGCACTCCTATGATCAGGCTCTTTAAAGGAAACTTTCTTTTAAGGCCATTTTAGAATCAGTCTCACAAATAATATAGGAAGAAAAGTAACACATTAAAAAGGGTTAAAGATAGAGCTTCCGTTAATGTGGTTATAAGAAAATAACTAAGCAAAAGCACTCTCAAACTGTCTAAATATGTGCATAAAGAGGAAGAGAACAGTAGAATCAAATGCTAATTTCCTGTTTAGAGGTGGATCAGCACACAACTGAAATGTGAAGCTACACAGAGAACATGAAAAAATACCTACTGTAAACTAATGGGAAAAATAATCCTACAATAAAGACGTGCAATGGGATATTCCACAAGAAACTAAAGAAAAGACATTTGCTACTACTGCTACAATTTTACTATCCCCATTCATTTGTTTATACCTGGTAACTGAGAGCCACATTCCTACTCCAAATACTTAGGGAGCAAGCATATCGCCAGCAGTATCTTTTAGCTTTGTACCTGAATTGGTGTGATAGTTGATATTTAGAAGGCTCAATATTTTGACATGTTCTTATTTTCAGTAACAATCCAGAGGATGGAATTATCTGACACAGATTGAAAAACTTTTCTTTTGACAAGATTATAGAATCAGAAACATACTTGAGACACAGAGAACATGTACATATATGAACAGTTCTGTTTGTAGTATTCTGCATGGCCCTGGTCTGATATTTTGTCTTCTACTTTAAACAAGCAGTTGACACAGTGGATATTTAATAGGAGACATACAATTCCTTCAAATTATTTAAACAATTAATCCCTTTCATAGGATTAATGGAATATGACTTCAGTAATGTGGAGAAAGAAACTTAATGGATCCATTTTTAGAATTCTTCTAAATAAGAACAGTTTCGTTTTCTTAAAAACTGTCATGCGCTTTTAAAAATATATATTAACAGTTTTCAAATATAACATCAAAATAGCATCATAAATAGCTTGCAAGACAATTTATCAAAATGATTGCAAAGCATATCATTTTTATGTGTGTGGATTCCTGTTAAATCAGTTTCACACCAAATATTAATTGCCAGAAAGATCTTTATAGCCAAGCTTTACTTATAATCATGAACAGATTAATGATTTTCACGCAACAAGAGCAGTATTATATACACAATTTATCTGCTATCCTTGTTTCTGTTATTAACTCCAATAAAGCTTCCAGTTCAAGAAAAACAATAGTTGGACAGAGTGCCATTATGCATTAATGGCATTAGAACAGAAGAAGGACAGAAGGAAGGGAGGAAGGAAGGAAGGAAAAAAAAGATCCTAAGAGAAAATATAAATTATGAAAAGACTTGAAGTTTATGTGAGATAAACTGGCTATAATAAGTCAGATGAGGGAGATGCAATGATGTTTTACAAACTGATTAGAAAGATGACTTGACAAAAAAGAGACATCCAGATAAAGGTTAAGATTCTAGTAGTAAATGCAAATGGAAATTTGGCTCTTGTTCATGCAGAAATAGCAACAGGAGCAAATTCGAACATTAGGCAGGAGAGATGGAAATAAATTCAAGAGAAGCAATAAAATATTATTTAAACAATCTAACAGATAACAGAAAGAAGGGAATTTTACTTTTTCTATATTTGGATGAGATAGCAGTAACAAAAACAGAGAATGTGACCTGTGGAACTGCACAGAAAGTACAAATAAAAGAGCATAGGGTCAAAGTTCAATGTTGTTAGATATTTAGGTTGTTAGATTTCCCTCGATGAAAAACAGTGTCTTTTAAAACATTAAAATGTTTCCTCAGAACACTGAGAAGGAAAGGTAAAGTCAAATCACATTAACCTGTGTGTTTTCATATGAATGACTTAGTATTTACTCTCTTTTATGTGTGTTAACAAAGGTAACTCAGGCCCTTATCCTATGCTGCTGGACTAGTGCAAGGCACTCTACATGGGATGGCTTCTGAAGACAACTTGGAAGCTTCAGTTGCTCCAGAACACAATAGCCTGGTTATTGACTGTCACTTGTCAACAATACATAACTGGTTCATTGAATTACATCTGCCAACCAATATGTAGTCAAAGTGCTTGGCATAAAGGTATTTTCATGCTTGCCTCCTCCAGGCAGAATTGACCCGCTTGATGTATACATCCTAGGATATTTTTTACTTTCTGTAAAATGAAGTGGACTGAGGTTCATAAAAGCTGGTTTTCAGTGGCTATGCTTTGCTATGAACCCTTTAGAGATAAAACTTGCTTCATATGGCTGGCTTTCTAAAAATTATTAGAAACAAAACTATTGTTTCTAATGAAGAGTGAAATACACCAGTTAATGTTGTTATATTGTTTTAGCTGCTTATATATTTTCTGAAATTTATTTTTTCTTTTACTGTGGCCATTTATTATATTTCTATAATAATTTTGAACTACTTTATCCCTAACACGAATGTTTTATTTATATTATGTTCTTGTGAATTTTGTTAACCAGCTGATTACAGTTGATACAAATTGCATAAATAAAATAAATCTCAACAAATAACTTATTTTTATGGATGAATAATATATGTATGCTTATGTGAGATCATCTCTCTGCAAATTTAATGTGGAACACTGACTCAGAAGTTAATTCACTTCCTTCAGAAATTGAACATTTTGAAGATTAAATAGAAGAGCTTTCACCAAACCTGAGCTACTCCCAGCCAGCAAAACCACTGCTGAGAATTTTGGGAATTAAAGTCAAAAAATTAGGTGGGCCCAGAGTAGGGAAGGCTGCAGTAGAAAATAGAAAGCACTGAAGCAGCCAAGAGCCTTCCATGGCAGTTGAAGTATACTGACAGTACAGCACCATGGAAATACGCCATGCAATAGGGAACAAATGTTCAGGGCCAGGATAGAGCTGGTGACATCACACATTCATATTACATGGCACTGTAGGTTGATCAACCCTTGGGTACTGCTATGATGTGGCTATCATTTTAATTTTTAATCTGTTTCTTATATGAAGCAGTTTTTCCAAAAGAACATGAGACACTGCTAGTCCGACCAAATACAATCATTTCTGAGATTTCCATACTTTTCTAATTGTCACCAGTTCATATCTTCTATACAGTATTCTTACCCAGGTTTCCTTGCTCAATGGTCAAGACCACTTCATCCATCACCAAAGCTCGGAAGTCTAGATCCTCTTCACAACATTTGGCTTTAAGGGCCCTTAGAATTTCCTGCTGAGGATAATCTTCCCGGATACGTCGATCCGTTAAAAACCAGAGCCTGGGAACAACAGAGCTACACATCTTGAAGTAGTTCTGCAGACTTCAGTTCTCCTTTGAAAGGAATATCGAAAAAAAATAAGAAAGAAACTTAGTCCACATTTACATATACTGTAAAGCATTCCAAATAACAATTCATTTCCTTATAGAATTTGGTAGAAGCTAATGCTCCACCTGTTTCTTGCCCAAATTGGAGCTCGGGTGGAGCTGGGGAGGGAGTGCAGAGAAGAAATTAGCTTTAATTATAAAACAGTGGAAACTATTATTTAAAGTATTTTGGTTTTTCTGTACTGTTTTATTATAAAACCTGAAAAATTAGTTATAAAAGCAAGAGAGTTTCTCATACTGACATGAAATCAGGATAACAGGACTACCTGTTGAAGAAAATTTAAGAAATATTATAAGAGATGAATTACAGGAACTTTACAGGAAAATTATTAGATGAATTACATTAGGGAAATTACAGGAACTTTACAGGAAAATTATTATTGAGATTCAAGGATGATATCTCTGCCCATCCAAAACAATTCCTTTTGGAGAAATAGAATACCGATGGATGCGTGGGTCCAGGATGCATGGTTGAGCCCATACCTTGGTCATGCTGATTGTGTTGTGTGGTTTTATCTTGGCTCCTATATTTTTTATTTTTTTGCTATAATGTTTTTATCTTGTTTTTATTTCCTGTTAGCTGCCTAGAGTCATATGTTTGAGATTGGCGACGGACTTCCAGGGGAGGTATGGCGAACTGAAGACAGCTCTGCAAAAGCCTTGCCGATGACCACGGCAAAGACCAAGGAACAGGTAACTAGACTGGTCCCTTGGAACCTCTCCAGATAAGGAGAGAATGGGAGATTCCCCACATGTGCTCTGGATGGCTGCTCCTTGCAAGGAAACCACAAGACAGCAGTTTTCTGCGGGTTTCAGTGCCAGGAGATGACAGGATCAGCCACCTTCCTCGCATATGCAGTGGAGCCTTTTAAAGGACACTAAGTTCGCAAACCTCTCTAATCACTTTTGGAAATTACCTATTAATTATTTTAAAGCTATTAGAGACCTTCAGAGCAACAAGTTTGAAAAGTCTTCATCGGGTGAGTATT